GTAAGTTATTATAATGAGAAACTTGAAATATCTTAAAATAAAAGACTTAGTATCTCGAAATAACTGGAAAGTCTTTCAATATTTTGACTTACAGTCTTAAAATAATGTGAAACTTTCTCAAAATAATAATTTAGTATATCAAAATAATGACAAACTTTCTCAGAAGTTTGACTTAATATGTCAAAATAATGACAAACTTTCTCAGAAGTTTGACTTACTATTTCAAAATAATGATAAACTTTGATATTTTGACTTAGTATCTCAGCAAATTTAGAAATTTTATCAAATTAAAGAATTAATATTTCCAAATAGTGGAAGTTTTTCAATATTTCATCTTATCATCTCAAAATAATGTGAAACTTTCTCTAAATAATGACTTAGTATCACAATGTCATTATCCTGAGAGAAGTCTTTTTTTTGTTGCATTTCCATGTTTTATAAGAGACACAAAGGAATCAGAATAAGTCACAACAATATCCTAATCTCAGATAATTACTCAAAATATTTAAAATGTTAAACGAAGCAAAGAAATACAATTTAAAATCATATATTACCAGTTTATTAACATAAAATAAATTTTAAAAAACAATCAACAAAACCACATAGATCAAAAGGTAAAATAATAAAGGCAAAGAAAAAGAAAGAAAATAAATGAATAAATAATTTAGGTGACAGACTTACAGACGTACATTTTGACATTCATTTCTTAATTGTTAAATACTTAAGAGATTCAACAGAGTTCAATCTCAGTTCTAATAACTTAAGAGATGGGTTGAGTTAACAAATCTCCCTTTGAAAATATTGTATTTAAATAAAAAGGTTAACAGTTTAACATCACTGATAGATACTTTTCACATCTATATCTCATCGTATCTATACTTTAAAATGAAGATTTCAGTCTGACCTTGACCCCTGTCTGACATCATGTAAATAAATATCATCACTCATACATCAATCTATGCTGCATATACTGTAAACTGTCCTATACACCTACCTCATGTATGTAAAGCAACCTGGTACTTATGTATGTATTTATGTAAAGCAAAGTGACACTGGCTTTATGCCCGGAGCACAATGGGCCCAGGTGTGCCACATGCTGCTGATTAAGTCTCCTAATTAGGTCTGCAGCTCTGTAACTTGGTAACTTGTTTACCTTTTAAAAGCTGGTTGTTCTTTTTTTCTCCTTTATCTGTGCTTATTTCTGTGTATGTGCATTAATAAACAACCTACAAATATAATAAAATCCCTTGTATGTGAACCTGGGCAGGAGACTTTAAAGGGGAAGAGCAGAAATATATCCTGATTTTATCACATACAATCATATATATCAATGTGGATTATGTATTATATCAATATATATACATTCAAAAGCATTACATTATTGTGGCACATTAGCAAAGCATCAAATAGAAATATCAAAAGGTGGCATTAGAAATCAACAATTTGTTTTATTTTCAGATCATTGAACTTAAACACATCACTTGGCTACAACAGATCATTAAATTAATCAGTATTTTTTAACACATTCTTTTTCTTTTTGAGTTACACACATTCATACCGGAAGTACAATCACAGTCTGCTCTGCTGGCCACTGCAGCTCCACTGGAACAACTGGGGTTAAAGGCCTCGATCAATAGCACCTCAGTGGTGGTAATGAGGGAGGAGCAAGCACTTCTCCACACCAAGATTTGTCCTGCCTATCCGGGGATGGAACCGACGACCTTCCAGTCATAAACTGGCTTCTCTATAGCTTTTAATTCAATTCAATTCAATTCAATTTTATTTGTATAGTGCCAATTGATAGCAGAAGTTATCTCAGGACACTTTTCAAATAGAGCTGGTCTAGACCAAACTCTTTAGGCAACCACTGCATCATATGTTTTTTGTGGGAACAAATCAGCCGTCGACCAATATGAGTTTTTAAAGATTCTAATGCCGATATTTAGAGAGCAGTGCAATCGATGGCAGATATATAATACCAAAATCAAAACAGAGAAAAGGTCACATATAATTCCATTATTCAACACATGTTATAATCTAAATAAATATATAAATACATGGTTATCTTAGCCAATAACATGTTGTTTTATATGGAATTGTTATTAATTAATGAAACAGAAAAATATGGTGTAGACTGAGTCAGAAGCAACATCATTCAACTAATATGTGTATAACACTAGACAGAAAGTTAGTACAAATCAAGATTTGCTGTCATTTAAGATGGGAGAAAAGACAATGTTGAAATTTAGAGCAGGATGCAGGAGAGTTATAATACAGGACTGGAAACTAACTGAACTAACCACCTTCCACAAAAAACTCACAAAGAGGCCACTAGACATTCTTCGTGTGTCTTGTGTCTTGTGAATGCCGACATCGCCTTGGCCCAAATAACTGACCGACTGATTTATCTCTACAGCACAACTCATGTTGGAACAAGATCGATGCTCCAAACAACAGTACTTTGTATCTTATAAGAACAAGCATGTTTTCTTGTAGGAACAAGATCTATGTTGTAAAGCTAATAAAATATTGAAAACACGTACAGAGCTTGTGGGAACAAGATATTACTCTACACTCGATATTAGTCCTACTGCAAATTACATAAGTGCCAGGGTTTGGATTCCAGGCTGTGTTCACATTGCAGTTGGTCCCTCCATCCACAGATCTGATATTTTTAGAGTAAAACAGATTTTCTGACGCAGTGGGTTTTAAAGTGGGGTCTAGGGACCAGCAGGGCTCCTTGAAATAATGGCGAGGGGTGTCAAGAAAATGAAGAGTAATTTAATTTTACTGGTGTTTTCGCTCCCCTGACTCTAATAATGCACTGATGCCAAAAACTGTTTTCCTCCTCTCTGTGTGATGCAGATCTGATGTGAACTATTTGGTGAGTTGGGATAAGAAAACAATGCACTGAATCAGAGTAACAAATACACATTCACCCCCAAAAACATGACAAATATATCTTTTCTATTTTATTTATTCTGTTTTTACAATAAACCACTTTTGATCAGGTGTTCAGTTTATAGGTAGCTATGTCTTAGAGTCCCACTTCCCTTACTCATGTTTGCATTTTTATTTTAACATACTGTTTTCATATTATGTCCTATACACACGTTAAACGGTAAACATTAACAGTAAAAAACAGCATACATTTCTAGACTCGGTGACACATATGACATATTGAATTGCCATATACTGTACAAAACATAGTGACTCTAATGTAGGAGAAAAGCAGCCATAGTTATGTAAGACAAAATACACAGTCACTGTGTGGTTGTATACAAAGGTAGATGCATGCCTCTCATGTATTAGCATATATTCAGGTCACCATCGGTTTCTTTAAAAGACCAGTTTGTAGAATTTAGTGCCATCTAGTGGTGAGATTACAGATTGCAACCAACTCCCTTTCCAAGTGTGTAGGAGAAGCTACGATGGGCTAATGTAAAAATGTGAAAAGCCCCATAGAGCCATTGTTTGGTTTGTCTATTCTGGACTACTGTAGAAACATGACGGTTTAACATAGCAGACTCTGTGGAAGAGGACGTGTCCGTAAATAAAAACATCTAAGGTAACAAAAACACAAGGATTCCTATTTTCAGGTGATTATAAACTAATGAAAACATACCTATGAATATTATATTCCATTTGTGCCAGTAGATCCTCCTAAATGTTACACACTGGACCTTTAAAGACAATTAACCATTTAAAAACAGTCGTTGTTCTGAAGGCTTTTTCCAGAATACCTAACCTGACTGCTCCAGATGTTTTTTTACACAGAACCTCATAGCTGGAAACTGTTTGGAAAAGGGCAGGCAATTTAAAAAAATGCTTGGCAGGTGACTGGATGAACTAATCGGATCAACACACCACATAAAGTAGTCAAGTCAGTCAGTCTTACCAAAGCCAGTCGGGAAAAGAGCGAAAAAATCTTTTAAATCAAGAAAAGTCTGTTCTTTGTTCTTCTATCAATGAAAGAAAGTTCTGATATAACTGATGCTTGCAGCATCTACACCGTCCTCTTTAGCGGCCGCCACTACAGTCACGTCTCACACGTTTGTCACTATTGTTAAATCACTAGTATATATCAGAAAATATAAGAATAGATTTCAACCTGTTTCCCAAGGGGGTTTGGGCTCTGTTTCTGAATTAAAACAAATATGGCCGCCCACCAACTACCTGGAAAGTGTTGCAACTTGGGAAACGTGTCAAACATTTTGGTGGACCACAAACATGTGGTTGAAAGCGTCTTTGAGGAGGTTTTTCAAACACTGTCGGAGATATTAGTGGTTACACATGTGACCTGAATGTATGCTAATACATGAGAGGCACAATAACAATCTGGGGCTAATGGAAATGACACATTACCCCTTTATATTCCCTTCTTGTGAATCTCTTCTTTCAGTCATGCTGATAAAATAGAGAAAAAAGCCGTTACATTTAGGCTATTGTGCCTGTGGGATGTCAGTTGTGTTTTTTTTTTAAAGGAGCCCTATCTAAGAATATTTATGTTATCTGCTCTGGTGAGGAGACAGTATAGAAAGAGATAACCTCGGGTCTGTAGATATATTATGTGTTTTCTTCACACAGAATTCCCCTGAATGCAAAAGTGCTGCCATGAACAAAATTGATGTCTTAAAAACCTTTCAGGGATCCTGATAGAAACTGCACTAATATTATCTTAAGAATTGCATTCAGGGTTGGAACTGGGCAACTTTTCTGAATTAAATCGTGAAATA